TAGTGGCTTCCGTGGATGTCATCTCTCTGAACGACGCGCCACTATAGTGGCTTTCGCGGATGCCATCTCTCTGAACGACGCACCACTATAGTGGCTTACTCTAGTAGCTCACTCGGTCATCGTTTGAATCAAATAATCGTCTTCATATGCATTGTTTCACACTTCTTTTGTCTTCACATCGATTTACAATATACAGACTTATCTTAACAATATAACTGTATCCTAACAATATACGGACAGAATATACAGACACTCTGTACAGTACATATCAGACTCTGTCGTCCAGAGAAATAGCCTCGCGCAGAATTCAGCCGTACCTAAAAGGTTAACGTCGCTATGCCTGGTGTACATCGGATCAATGCCGATAAAACGACGACGAACGATGCTGAGATCCGATGTCGTTAGATGCGAAGCTGTTTCGATCGGCGACAACCTCGATAATTCTGGGTTCTATCGTTAAAATAGCTTCGGGTGCAAACGGCGAGAGATAGAAAGGAACGACGACTAACGGGATTAACGAATGATCGCAGGTTAAGGAACAACTGTCCCAATACTCGATTTCCCAGCGCCTGTTCGGCGAGTCCGTGCTGGGCCTGTCCCAGGGATCCGTCTCCGATCTGCTAGCACGGCCGAAGCCCTGGCACATGCTCACGCAGAAGGGTCGCGAGCCGTTCATCAGGATGAAGATGTTCCTCGAGGACGACAACGCTGTGCACAAGCTGGTGGCCAGCCAGTACAAGATCGCCCCGGAGAAACTGATGAGGACCGGCGGCTACGGTGGCCTGCCTCGTAAGTTTAACTCAGGTCAATATAGATGTTTTGTTCTTTTACTAAACGCATAGTTTGGGAGCTCGATACCGTGCGTCGAATGATGCTAATGCACCGACGATTGGCGCGACGCAGTCCAACTTTCACAGGATAATTCGTCTTTGTTGCTTTGTACAGTCCGTGTCTCGTCGTTTCCATGTATCCTAAACTCTTTGCCACGAGGGCTAACGGTAATATCTGCTAGCTACGATATCGCCAGTCGCAAAATGTTGCTAGATCCACAGATTTCATGCGAGAGCAAAAGATCGTTTCTTGGACAGCGCTGGGCTAGCCCAGCGGGAAAGAGTGAACCGAAGCAACATTCCGAGGTCCAGCCGAGCTTTCGGACTATAATGCGCAAGTTTCGTTGTGCGACGTAGCTTAAACTTGTCATGTTCTTGGTCCACAGCTTGCGGAACCCCGATGAAGCCTATGCCGCCAACGAAGCTGGTCCAGGAGCAGCTTCAGAACGCCGCGAAGGCACAGGCGGCGGCTCAGGCAGCTGCCCAAGCGGCGGCCCAGCATCAGCAGGAGAGTCAGATGCAGTTGGGACCACCTCAGCAAAGTCCTCAGCATCCCCAGCATCCACAGCCGCCGCCACCGATGATGCTGACTCCTCCAGGTCCCCATCATCCTCACACGCAGCTCAGCATGCAGGAACTGCAGAAGAAACAGCAGCAGCAGCAGCAACAGCAGATGAACCTTCACTCGCCGCACCATCAAATGACCCCGTCGCCCCTCCGTAGCCTCCACCCGCACATCTCTCCGAGCGTATACGAGATGGCGGCGCTGACGCAGGACCTGGACACGCAGACGATCACGACGAAGATCAAAGAGGCGCTGCTGGCGAACAACATCGGCCAAAAGATCTTCGGTGAGGCTGTCCTGGGTCTCTCGCAGGGTTCGGTCAGCGAGTTGCTGAGCAAACCAAAGCCCTGGCACATGTTGAGTATAAAAGGCCGAGAGCCGTTCATCAGGATGCAGCTGTGGCTGTCGGACGCACACAACGTCGACCGGCTGCAGGCGCTGAAGAACGAGCGGAGGGAAGCGAACAAGAGACGGCGAAGCAGCGGGCCGGGTCACGACAACAGTTCGGATACGTCCAGCAACGACACCGCCGAGTTTTACCACGCGGCTTCGCCCGGCCCGGGCCCGGCCTCGGCCAAAAAGCAGCGAGTCCTGTTCTCGGAGGAGCAGAAGGAGGCCCTGAGGCTCGCGTTCGCCTTGGACCCGTACCCGAACGTGGCCACCATCGAGTTTCTGGCCAGCGAGCTGGCGCTGTCCTCGAGAACGATAACCAACTGGTTTCACAATCACCGGATGAGACTGAAACAACAAACGCCGCACGGCCAGCCGGAGCCGCAATCGCCCAGAGAACCCGGCCAGCCGTTTGACCCCGTTCAGTTCCGACTGCTGTTGAACCAAAGACTACTGGAGATCCAGAAGGAGCGACTGGGCCTGGGCAACGTGCCGCTCCCCTACTCGCCGTACTTCAACCCTAACTTGGCCGCCCTCGTCGGTAACGCGCTCAAGGAACAGTGCTCGGGGCTGGACCTGTCGATGAACGCGCTCAAGAGGGAGCCGAACCAGGAGTTCGAGGACGAGGACGTCGAGGACGCCATGAGCAACCTCGGCAGCGAAGACTCCGAGGGCTCGGCGGGTAGCATAAAGAGGGAACCCACGGAGACACCTTCCGCGCCAACCACGGTTAGATCGAACAGGAGAAAACCGGCGGCGCCGCAGTGGGTGAACCCGGAGTGGCAGGAGCCGCCTAGAACGGGGGACGAGGTGATCATCAACGGCGTTTGCGTGATGCAGACGGACGACTACGGCGTGAAGAGGGAGGCGGAGGAGACGATCAGGGTTGAACCTACGCCGGTTCAGGACAGATACGAGGAGGACGCGCAGAGCGACGTCTCCTCCGTTTCCGGGAACAACGGCCAGGACAGGGACAGTCCGCTGCCGAGTCCGAAGTCTGGACAGCACAGTCCGGCGACGTCACCCAGACCGCCCTCCACGCAGCAAACGCAACAGTCCACCGAGGAGAGTCCTAAGGACAACGTGGTGAAACACGAGCCCGAGGAGACGTGGGACTATTAAGACTATAATTAAGGTGTGGACGGTTCGAGTCGGCTCGAGCAGAGGGTAAGGGACGACGTAGAAACATGCCAAAACTGCGTTAACGGCCGAGGGTCCGCCGGGCGACCACACGGCCTAGTTAAGTTCTTAAAACGAGGATAAAACCAGTCATAGGATTCGGCCAGGCCTGATTGGCCGGGTCCTGCCTACCACGAGGGCATTATCATAGGGAGGCAAATACAAGTAGGATATGTGAAAAACAAAAAAAACACAAAAGACACAGACTCACACGGACGATGTGCGCGTGCGAACGCCAGTGCGGGGGCTACCGGCTAGGAGGCTGCTATCGAGGAAGACGGAGCTCAATCAAAAGAAAAAAAGAAGCGAACTGTTTTTTCGTAAAAAAAGAAAAGAAGAGAAAAAGATAACGTTGCCTGCTGTGCTGTACGACGGTAGTGCGCGGTACACAGCTCGGCGGATTTGTATTTGTTAAGAAAGACTGTACGACGACGCGGTTTGGCGAGAGAGGAAATGCGATAAAGAGAGAAAGAGAGAGAGAGAGAGAGAGAGAGAGAGGACGAGAAAAGAGGCGAGAGAATGAGAGAGGGAGCGAGATCGTCGCGAAATTCGCTCGGAACCAGAAGGAACCCGGATAACTTCCGTTTTGCTACCGAGACCAGAAGGAAAGATCGATCGGATCGGTCGGAGAACGGAACGGACGCGGGTTCGTCAGAGTGCAATCTACGAGTAACCAGTTGTTAGATCAAATTATTATTAATTTTATCTAATTACGCGTCGGGATGAGCGATTATTGCATAATTGTGATTCATGTTATATTGTTTATACACTTCTCCTGTCCCATAGTCGTTAAGCTGTTAATGTTAACTACACTCCGCTCTCCGATTACGTGTACCTTCTTTTTCGTCTGTTTCGGTTCGAGGCGTGCCGCTTCGTTTTCAGAAACACCACGAGCGGTTCGACGCGAAGCGTACCAACCGGCTAACTGTTATCCAATTTTCACTTCTCGTTAAGATGATGTATCATCGTTCACCGGCGAACAGAACAAACCAGCGGAACATAATCTGTCCACTCGAAATTCTTTGTTTTAACGTTTTTCATTTCCATGTGAAACTCAAAATAGAGAGAGAGAGAGCTAATTATACGAGACGATCGGTGATCGAGGTAATCAGTTACTACCAATATTAACGTATTACTAGGCTTACGTTATCATTGCTATTTTATTATTACTATATTATACAATTATTATTATTATTATTATTATTATTATTATTATTATTGGTTATATTATATTATTTTATTACCATTCGAATTCTTATCGCGATTACGATATACGGCTTTTGAAGCCAATGTGATAGAGCTTATATGCGATGATAAAATTTAAAAGAAATGGAAAAAACGATCG